GGGGGGGATTTTGTGTAAATTGTTGTCAAAACGTTTCTTATATTTCGGCAAATGTGATAAATTATATAAATTCCGCTCAGCCTTAATCCCACTTGCATCTTCGCTAGCCAAGGGTGACGATCCACGGTGTTTCTCTTTTCACCGAAACGAGAAACACCGTGGATCCTCACCCTTGGCTAGCGAAGATGAGTATTGTTATCCTCTCCGACTGCGTAAATGTTATCATTTGGATACAAAATAATCGTGTACGCGCCAGAAATGTTTGACTTTTTCAAGGAAAACTGGATGTAGAGCTGCACTATATGCCCTTGTGACTTTTCTGTGTCATTTACAGATACTTATGAAAAAGGCAAGATCATTTTAGCCAATATGTTACCAACAATACTTAGATTGCATTGTCTGCTTACGATAAATATAACAAGATGGTATTTTGTTATATGTACAAGTCATATTATAATGTAACTAACTTCTATACTTTTTTATTTCTTATAGTTGAATTGTGCCCTTAGTTTGTATCTTCAAATTTTCAAAACAGAGTTTGCTGATTGAATGCATGAAATATATTAATTCACAAAACCAAAGAAAACTAGATGCTGTCATGAGACAGTAATACCCGCACTAAGGTGTTTGCCTCTAAATACACAATCCTACGGGCGGCTTACCAAGGAAAAAGTCAAAATAATTCTATATAATTCAGGCACGTAGCATCGTTTTTGAAAGTGGGGGAGGGGGCAACCTGAGAAAATTTTTTTTACTCACCTAAAAAAATTAACAAGGAAAAAAAATGAAATGGGGGGGTGGGTGGGGGTGGGGGGTGGTGGCCACTTTTTTATCAAGGCAAAATTACTTTCACTTCCAATTTTTCCCATATTTCCTTACAATGTATATACTGTGGTTAAAAGTGGGGGGGAGGGGGCAACCATCTTTTTAATGGACATTTTCTTATAGTACAGGTAATGTTGGGAAAAAAAGGGGGGCAGCCCCCCAAAGCCCCCCCCCCCCCCCCCCGGTTGCTACGTGCCTGTAATTTACATATGTATTCATGAAATTGGGTATGAAATTATCCCTGTGACCTATAACTCACATGCTTAATTCATTATATACCAGTTTGAATTCTATTAATAATGTAAATTAGATTTTGATAAATGTTTTGCTCATATTAGGACCTTTTTAAATTTACTAATCCCCCCCTCTCGACACCACAATCACACAGTACATACTTTTGGAAATAGGCTAGATGGAACAGTTTTGTTAAAACAGTGTTTGTTATGAATTAATTTAAAATTTGTTCTTGACATGTAAATTCTACATCACATCACGTTGCGTCACCCATTATCATATTTTTAGATTAAACTCCACTCGGTACACCTCGGCCGATTCCCACTTCATCTGATAAGGTGACGGAATCGACGGCACGGAGGTTTTCCGAATGGAATATCATTATAACATGCTGCAGAATGGTGTGCTTTGGATAAATTCATTTTGTGTTATAATTGGATTTATATTTCATGAAGTTTACAGGACCTATGGAGGTCGGTAAGTACAAGTTTAAGTATAGTGGGGGTAAAATAAACCCAAACGATTAGGTTAAAGTTCAAAAAGGGTCAAAGATCATCGCATGCCACACTAGACGAATTTCATATTGTGAAGGTATCTCCCCTTGTCGATGTGACATTCAGTTACTGCCAATACTGGTGCGGATCCAGAATTTTTTTCGGGAGTAGGGAGGGGGGTTCACATCTCTGTCAAAATATTCATGCCTAGAATTTCCTGACAAGCAGGAGAAAAAAATCATACACTGAAAACAAATAAACAAAAAAAACCCCAATGTTTTCTTAGTTAGGGGGAGGATGTCCAAAATCATTTTTTATTTGCTTCAGTATATAGTCTTGTTTAAATAACAAAGGAAATTCCAGGGGGGGGGGGGGTTCCAATCTCCCTACCCACTCCCTATCCCTGAAATAACAATCTATTTTGTGATTCCAATTAAAAAGTATATTTTTTTCCATTTGACTAATTATGTACATATTTTGTTTCTTGTGTTTATATTATGTCTGTATATTTGTCTGCAGAAATTATAACCTTGCCCATAAGTTTTAAGTGGGATGGGCTATACAATTGGCTTCCATATTTTATAGGTTTATTTCTTGTGACAATGAAGACCTTTTATTTGGGTACCATTAATTTTTACCTCTGATCACTTGACCTAGAATACACATTTTTACAAGAAAAATACCAAACTTTAAACTTGGCCTAAATTTTGATCAGTAGGTGCTAGGGCTTTCATGCTTAACATGTGTATTCATTGTGAACTGTCAACAGGTATAAATATGTTTGACCTTGACCGTAAAGTTTGAACCACTTAAAAAATTAACCTTGGCAATTAACTTTTGAAGAGGAAGTACTAGGGATTACTTATTTCACATGTGCATTCCTTGTGACAAGACTTTTTTCTGATACCAACAATTGAACCTTTTGACCTTGACCTTTGAGTTTGACATATATTTGAGAAACTTCAACCTTCGCCATAGGCTACCAGACAGGGACATCAGTGTTTCACAAACACATCTTGTCTTCATTATTATTTGGTGGTGTCTCCATATGACGGAAAAATTCCAATGAGATATGTATTCACAACAAACAAACAAATTACTAAAGAAAATATAAAACATGAATCTGTTGGTCATGCATATCTCTGCATGAAAAAAAACCCAGCTTTTCAAGTACTGCAACCATATTGTAACCCTTTCAAAACACTCATTTGAGCTTTTCTGGTTTCCTTGTCATATAACGTCTGTTGTGACATGTTGTCCATCTGTTTGTCTGAAAACTTTTTACATTTTTAACTTTTCTAGAACCACTGGTCCAATTTTACCCATGCAATTCATATAGAAATATGTACATTTGTATGTCAGACTGTTCTTCTGTCTGAATAAAATTAACCTTGGTTATCACGGTCATATCTACTGAATGAGAAGAGACAAGGCTTTCATATTAAACTTATGTACTAGTATTTACCTGTGAGAATGGCATGTTTTTTTTTTTTTTTTTACATATGACCTAGAAGTTTGACCTACTTGCAAAAAAATTAAATTGTTATAAATTTATCATTTTGAAAGAGAAAAGTTAGGGCATTCATATTATAATGCATGTATATTATTACCTGTGATAAGATCTTTCCAAATGAATCATGACTTTTACTCTGTGTCCTTGACCCTGAAGCCTAACCTACTTTTCAAAAATGTTGCATTTGCTTATAACTTTTGATTGAGATGAGATATATATGACTCTCACTTTTAACATTTGTACATTAATTACTCATAAAAATTCAAGATGTTTCCCAACTTGCAATGTTTTTTTACTCTTTAACGTTAATGTTTTACATAATTTTCAAGATATTTAACTCTCCTAAAAGATGATTAGGCTTCTGAGTAACATTAAGGAGGACTTCAGGAAAGACAGGACTTTTTGCACAAAAAATGTAATTTTCCACCCCCATTTGACCTCCCAGGGCAATATCAAAATTCCAAAACCTTACTGCACATCTACATGACACTACCAACCATCTCCCTAAAGATGATTAGGCTACTGTGTAAAATGTAAGAGAATTTCAGGGAAGACGAGGCTTTTTGCATAAAAACGTCATTTTTTTACCCCTATTTGACCCCCCGGGGCAAAAACCTTACTGCACATCTACATGACACCACCAACCATCTCCCAAAAGATGATTAGCCTACTGTGTAAAATGTAAGAGGAGTTCAGGGAAGACGGGGTTTTTTGCATAAAAAACGTCATTTTTCGACCCCCATTTGACCCCCCCCCGGGGCAAAATCAAAATTCCAAAACCTTACTGCACATCTACATGACACCACCAACCATCTCCCAAAAGATGATTAGCCTACTGTGTAAAATGTAAGAGGTATTCAGGGAAGACGGGGCTTTTTGCATAAAAAACGTCATTTTTCGACCCCCATTTGACCCCCCGGGGCAATATCGAAATTCCAAAACCTTACTGCACATCTACATGACACCACCAACCATCTCCCAAAAGATGATTAGCCTACTGTGTAAAATGTAAGAGGAGTTCAGGGAAGTTGGGGCTTTTTGCATAAAAAACGTCATTTTTCGACCCCCATTTGACCCCCCGGGGCAATATCAAAATTCCGAAACCTTACTGCACATCTACATGACACCACCAACCATCTCCCAAAAGATGATTAGCCTACTGTGTAAAATGTAAGAGGAGTTCAGGGAAGACGGGGCTTTTTGCATAAAAAACGTCATTTTTCGACCCCCATTTGACCCCCCGGGGTAATATCAAAATTCCGAAACCTTACTGCACATCTACATGACACCACCAACCATCTCCCAAAAGATGATTAGCCTACTGTGTAAAATGTAAGAGGAGTTCAGGGAAGACGGGGTTTTTTGCATAAAAAAACGTCATTTTTCGACCCCCATTTGACCCCCCGGGGCAATATCAAAATTCCAAAACCTTACTGCACATCTACATGACACCACCAACCATCTCCCAAAAGATGATTAGCCTACTGTGTAAAATGTAAGAGGAGTTCAGGGAAGACGGGGCTTTTTGCATAAAAAACGTCATTTTTCGACCCCCATTTGACCCCCCGGGGCAATATCAAAATTCCGAAACCTTACTGCACATCTACATGACACCACCAACCATCTCCCAAAAGATGATTAGCCTACTGTGTAAAATGTAAGAGGAGTTCAGGGAAGACGGGGCTTTTTGCATAAAAAACGTCATTTTTCGACCCCCATTTGACCCCCAAGGCAAAATCAAACCTCCGAAACCTTACTGCACATCTACATGACACCACCAACCATCTCCCAAAAGATGATTAGCCTACTTTTTAAAATGTAAGAGGAGTTTAGGGAAGAAAAGTGTGACATACGGACGGACGGACGGACATGAGTAACAACAATATACCCGAACTTTCTTTAGAAAGTGCGGGTATAATGATTAAACATGATGGCAAACTTCACTAAGCCATTATTATTAAAATTATGCACAATAATATAAATGTATAAAACACAAGAGAATGAATAAAGAAAATGTATGAAGATCCTCCACTACTACCTGAGCAGACTTCCATTAGATGCATGTATCTTGCTGCCATTTTTCGCATATTGGTGAATTTTGTTTTAAGATAGTTCAATTAATAATCATTCAAAATGATTTTTTTTAAAAATAAATCAGATCTTCAGAGATAGTCAGAGGTTTAAAAAGTGCATTAGGATTTTTTTCCCTTTCATTCATGTAAAACTATCATTACTTGATATATATTTTCCATATATTAAAGATACTAGTATTTAAAGGGTAATCATGAAGAAATATTTACATTATTTCAGTTTTATTTGTTTTCTAACTTCGGATTGGTTAAAATCCAAAAGAAACAAATAGCCATATTCCTTTGTTTGGTATAAGATAATTCACTCACTTGCTTTTTTTAAATGATTAAATAAATATTCATTCAAAATGTAATTTGTTAAATAAATCAGATCTCTAGAGACAGTCAGAGGTTTAAAAAGTGCATTAGGATTTTTTTCCCCTTTCATTCATGTAAAACTATCATTAGTTGATATACATTTTCCATATATTAAAGATACTAGTACACTGTAGTTAAAGGGTGATCATGAATAAATATTAACATTATGTCAGTTTTATTTGTTTTCTAACTTCTGATTAGTTAAAATTCAAAAGAAACAAGTATCCATATTCCTTGGTTTGGTATAAGATAACTCACTCACTCACTCATTCGGTCATCCTTAGTCGACCAAAGACATGACCACGCCAGTTCTTCCTATCGGCCATAAGGGAAGCTAGTTCATTTGCATCCCTTGTCTTCGTGTCACGCTTTAGTGTGTCCAAAAACGTGGCCTTGGGTCTACCTCTTCCACGGTGATATGGCTTCACAGTACCAATGATTGGGCGCAGAGCTCTGGATGACGGAAGCAATGCCCAGCTAGCTGTAAGCTACTGGAGGCTATTTAATCACTGACCTTTGGGAGGTTATCGTATAGGATCTCGTTGGGAATGTGGTTTGACAAGTCAATGTCTAGAACCTTACGAAGCATGCGTGTGTACGTTCCGTCTAGCGACTTCTCCTGGGCTACTGTCAGCGTCCATCTCTCACAGCCATATAGTAGAATTGACTCGATTGTGGCTAAAAAGAAACGCAACTTGAGATCAGTACGCATTGTTCAGCGCCATATTCTGGACATCTTGTTCAGAGCCTGCCAGGCTAGTGCTCTTCGAACAGCTATGTCCTTTTCTGAACTTTCTACCTAGGAACCAAGATATTTACAAACTTCCACCCATTCGATTTCAGTGCCATCTAAGGTTTTGAGTGGTGTAGGGATGTCAGTATTTAAAGGGAGGCCTTTTGTCTTCTTGACATTCATACATAGCCCAACTCTCCTCTAGATAATAGTTCCTGTGCTTGGACGATTTCATCTGATAATAAGGAAATGTCGTTAGCAAAATCAAGATCTGTAAGAACTTGTTTTGGGTGGTATAAGATAACACTTCCCGTAAATACAAACTGAATCATCTTTATCTATTTAATCTTCTCATTGCCAGTTCACATAATTCTTGAACATTTCCAGATTTAATATCTACATACCTGATTTCAAACAATAAATCGAACTAATCATACTTTAAAAATTAACATGGATTCTATGCTATCTATATCTTTTTATAGATCCTCTCAATTTCCATCATTTTTTTTACAGCTGTAAAGTGAACTGGATTTTTGAAACTATTAATAATCTTCACCAAGACGTGTTTAATGACTCTAAAATTAAAGTATAGGGAATGACTTCAATGCTTTGCCAAATTATTATAGTACATCATGGTTTAGTTGCGTTAAAGCTGTTTGATTATCCGTTTTGCAGATAATAAAGAGTATATAATGATCCAAACTAGGTTACTAGTATACCATAATAATTTTGCAAAAGAACATTTGTTCTTAAAGCAATCAAAAAAGTTTGCAAATCAAAAGAATTTTGAGAATGTTCAGTATGTTCACGCATTATTCACCTTAAAAATATCTAGCATTCAACAATGATAAATTGGGCAAAACAAATGCCTTTCTGATAAAATTAAGCAAAACAGTTTTTGTTCCAATTAAAAATATTACCATTAGCAACAAACAATGGTTACATGTATTTTATTAATATCAGACACAATATATACATGTGCCACTAAGCTTTTAATTAAAGATACCATCAACTGTTTAAATAATGTCACTTTCGAAGTAGGATGGAGGTCTTAAAGGGGAATAAAGTTTTTCAACAGGAATATTATTGATTAAATATGTCAGCAGGGGCACTGCAACTCAATAACTAACCCTGCAGAGTTACAAAAATGATGATAAACGACTGCAATGCATATCAGAGAATATTTGTGCAAAACAACAAAAGAATAGTTGGCAAAAAAAATAAAGTGAACTTTAATTCCAAATTTTTTTTTCATAAGGAAAAAAACAATAAGCGACATTGTTTGGAATACTGAAAAATATAAATATGACATCTATTGATGTAATAATATAATATCATATTTTTTTTATATGCATTGTTGTTGTTTATGCATTAAGGAAATTCGACTTACACCATGCTTCATTTTAATTTAAGAATAATATATAGAACAATATTGAAACTAAAAAAAAAACCATGAACCAACACAAGAAAGGAGCAAAGCAAACACGGACTTCCAAAATATCAAAGTTAGGATCAGGTTACATAACCTGAAGGTACCATATTGCTCTCATGAAATAACGCAATCTATTTTTTGTTTGTTTGTTTGTTTGTTTTTTGTATTAAAGTGTCTCCTTACAAAACACTGCAAAGTAAAACAAATAAAAGGGCGAGCCAGGCTGTTTGTGCTGTACTTCGACACTGCCCGTTATCTGGTGATATCGAGTGACCTGCAGGACTTGGAGTAAGACTCGGGTACAACACAGGACCTTGGTATTTATTTCTTCTATGGCAATCAATCAAACTAAAAGATTTACTGAAGCAGAGTTGGACTTCCCACAACCACAAGGGCTAAAAACAAAGAAAATAACATGATTAAACCTAAAAAAAATAAATATTATTATCATTCATTTTAAATATTGATTGCGTTTACCTCTAATATGCGCAAAAGAAATGCAGAAACAGGTTTTTAGGAACAAAAAAATAAAACTTTATTCTTGTAATTAAGAGGTAGATTGAATCCTCGAGTTGATATATATATATTAGGGATGTCAAATCGGTCAATTAGAACTTGACCAAGTTCTAATGTTCAGAGCCGATTTATGATTTCTTTATACTTTTCGATCCTAGATTTTATAGTATCACGGGACTGTATTTTGTAGTTTGGTGCAACGATGGACATCAGTTATTTAAATCCTTTGCCTTCAACTATTTGTACATGTATTGGCATGTAATCAAACAACCATATCAACAGTCGCGCGTGTATATCATCTGTCCCTTTTCCCGAGAATTTACGGCTTCTCGAAGAATTAATTGACAAAATTATCTAACTTATATGAATCATAACAGACCTTAAACGATGTTCAGTGATAACAAATAATTAAGGTCAGAAGACACGTTCCTCAAATAAACGTCCTGTTTCTCTTGGTATTATATCATAAATCATTTATATTTGTCACTCTCTTCTGATTTCTACATTGTTTTCAAAATGTTTTTTTAGATATAAGTAAACCAAAAATTATGATATAGGCTATTCAAGAGATTACCCATAAGGGTTATATAAGAAATATGACCCCGTGGTTCTTGTCCAAATGCCTGGTAAGATACCCTAATTTTTTGTGAGGAAACTTATTAAAGCACCTCTACTTCATTGACAAATTCTTAGGAAAAATTATATATTTTTGAGGAACATGTCGTCTGACCTTAAAGAAAATAAAAAAAATAAGGGTAGGTAACAGGTGCTTGGTCACGATAATTGCTGTATAAACACTGTCACGGGCGATAACGAGTAGGAAACACTACCTGTATGTACAAGTGCAATGAGTATTTTACGTTTTAAAACATATTGTTTAATGCATTAAAAAATAAGCTTAGAAATATTCAAAAATATTTACATTCGCTGTGTTTTTCTAGTAAGCTTACTGTGAAATTGATTTGGAAAACATTATCGTGTATACTCACGCGTAGAAATAAACACGGAGAAACGTGCGTTAACGTGACGTCACAATGAGACTGCAGCGACGTTAGTAAAATGCAATAATATAGGACAGCGAAAAATTCAAATATTGAGTATATTTTAGTTGCCTCCAAACAGGTAAAATGTAAATATAAGGATTTTTTTTCAGTTTAGTGTGAATTATTGGTGTGTGAATCACACAGATTTGCACATAGGCATATTTTTCATGAAGCGCTAGCACGCTTCACGAAATATGCCTACGTGACAAGTCTGTGTGATTCACACACCAATAACTCACACAAAACTAAAAAAACATTCCTTAAATATACATCCGAGTAACCGAGTACCGATTTAAGTATTCGATACTTGGACGTTCGACCGAGTACCCATTTAACCGGGTACTCGTTGACATCCCTAATATATATATATATATATATAATATATATATATATATATATATATATATATATATATATATATATATATATATATATATATATATATATATATATATATATATATATATATATATATATATATATATATATATATATATATATATATATATATATATATATATATATATATATATATATATATATATATATATATATATATATATATATATATATATATATATATATATATATATATATATATATATATATATATATATATATATATATATATATATATATATATATATATATATATATATATATATATATATATATATATATATATATATATATATATATATATATATATATATATATATATATATATATATATATATATATATATATATATATATATATATATATATATATATATATATATATATATATATATATATATATATATATATATATATATATATATATATATATATATATATATATATATATATATATATATATATATATATATATATATATATATATATATATATATATATATATATATATATATATATATATATATATATATATATATATATATATATATATATATATATATATATATATATATATATATATATATATATATATATATATATATATATATATATATATATATATATATATATATATATATATATATATATATATATATATATATATATATATATATATATATATATATATATATATATATATAATTCTTTATCTATAAATTACCTTTCGTCCTACATTTTTAAGAAGGATATGAGGTCGATGCTTTGTTTCTATTCTGAAACTATCTTCTATTTCTGGAATCTGAGTAAAGAGCAAAAACACAAAATACGTTATCTAATTACTTTATTGAATTTTGTTTGACTCCTAAAATATATTCATTAAAGATTTCTCGACATCCAAAATCGATTGGTTATCTTTTGAATCACAATTAAAACCTACCTGGAAATTGTTTCCTTCCACAATTTGTCTCTTCTTCAAGATTCTGATATGAATTTTGAAAAAAAATAGAGCCATTTCTTTTTAAATAAACCGATGAAATTATTATAAAATAGGAATGCCTTCAGTTGAACTCACGTGGAAATATTAAAGCGAAGAGCCAATTCAGTGGCCTTGCTAAAATACTGCGCCACTGTCCTTGTGTCTTCTACATCAGCACACGTGCCATGTTTTTGCCATTGGTACGACCTATATAAGTTGTTTTTTTAAAGAATCGTTATTGGTAATCAAAGAGAATAGACGAAAGAGAAAGTAAGGAAAGAGAAAGAGAACAAAAAGAGATACAAAAGAAAGTGAAAGGCAGACTCGACAAATAGAGAGTTTACGAGAAAGAAAATAAAGGCGAGAGAGGAGAGAATTTCAAAGCAGACATGTAAAACACTTCGAAAATATCAATCAGGGATGAACATATATGAAGTGAATGATGAATATAACCTTTTGCAGAATATATTTTTTAAATGTCAAATATAAGGAGATTAAAAAACATTTTTTTTTTATTACGGACAGAGTAATTTATCTCCAACTTAAGTTTTCAAAGCTTTGACATTTACAGAAATATTTCATCCTATTGCATACAATTATTGAAATAAGATAAAGATAATTATAATTCTATAAAAAGAAACCATATAGGTTAAAAATGTCACTTATTTAGATCTTTTTTCAGATATAATTCAAGATTTGTTTCAAAAGTAAAATGCTAATTTCTTCCAGTTCACTTGCAGTAGGACGTTAAGAGGGCAATTTTTCTTCAATCACGAATACTAGCTCCTACAGGCATCAAGAGAGGATTCATGGAGTTTTAGAAAAGGATATCCGATCATCAGCGATATTCCCCTTACGAATTCCCATTAAGCTTTGTTGAAAATAAAGAGCAATTTAATAAACTAATAGAAATATTACCAAAATGTTGAACTGGTACTTTTCAGAAGGTCTGGCCATATCCTTTTCATTTCATTCATAGTTCTCTGCATGTCACAAATAGAAATAAAAATGCATACATATTCGTTCTTTATAAATGTTATCAAAGCAAATTGAAACATACGACAAAATATTTGATAAATTATGATATTGCATACTCGTTTCAAATTATATAACATTGTGAATCTTAAATATCCATAGCATATACAAAAGTTAACCTGCGGTATCCTGTCAGCGGTAAAGGGAGACTTGGAACAATCTTTTACAAAACTTCCATTTGAATTCGAAGGCCTGAAAAAGGGATAGAACTTAGTTATGAAAACAATATATATGAAGTATCCAATCATTTAAGTCCCAAAAAAGAGAAAAATTTTACGTTTGCCATGATCGTACATATGCGATATGAAAATCAAAGCTTTGGCCCATTCAAAGTTAAATGTTGGGTTTGATTTTTTTGCGGACAAACAGACAGCTAGACAGACGGTTGGACAAAGCTAAAACTATATGATCCCAAAGCATCCTTAATAACGGCATAAAAATGTTACCAAATAGAAAAGATTGGTCTTAATTGACGATGGTGTCTCATACAACCTATATAACGACTTACCAAAATCCATGAACGGTCCAGTGAGTAAGAAGAGGCTGTTTGCACTGTAAAAAAAAAAATTTGGAGAAGTCTCTTAAAAGCCCGTAGAAGCCTTGGTGAGCGTAGGGGGCAAGGTGGCTTACAACCCGTATGATCACTTTTTTCTGAGTATTTTTATTCAAATAAGTGTACATTGTCATTTGGATTATGTCCCCCTTTGTTCCTGCTGAATGTAAAAAGCATAAACATTTTTTTAAACTGCATTAACAGGTAAAAAGAAAAAGTCAATCCTCCCCAAGAGAAAGGATTTTTAATGCACCTTTTTTCTTTTCTTGTTCATCAGATTTTTTAAAGGTTGATCGCGACTTTTAAAACCTTTTCCAAGGACCTGGCCAATCTTAGAGCATAAGAAAAGATATAAAACGTGGAAAAGTATAAACTTAATTTTTTTTTATTTATACAATTTTTTTTAACATAAATTGAATAAAACATTGTATTAAAGTAAAGTTAATGATCATGGATTTCATCGTTTTGATTTTTTGTTTATTTTCACTTTAAGTTACCTTTTGATTTTTGCAAAATGTAACTGGCCATTGGAAAGATAAAACAAAGTGATCAAACTCCACCGCTGCTAAGTAAGATGTATAGCTGTAAATTACAAAAAAATCAATCAAATGAAATGAAAAGGAAAGATTGGTAGTGGGAGTTAGAATGAAAAAGATATGAGAGAATACATACTTAAGAACCAAATTTTTAAAAAGAAATTAGCTTTTAAATTAGTTTTTTTGTAAATAAAAAAAAGTAAAATTCATTGGCAGAAAATCTGATAAGTTAAAACATCCTCCATACTTACCAGCTAAATACCAGAATTCCAAATATCATATAAAGACAGGAAGAATCCATGCTTAGGTATATCTAGTAGATCATACGTGAACCTATAAAAATACAATTTAATCTTAAATACTAGAACTAGACAAATGCTCTGTGTTAAATATACATTGTACAACAAAATCAATGTTATCTTATGAGTTTGATAAAGCAGAAAGTTAACATACATTACCAATTTATGTTAAATGAAAAAGAAAAAAGTCCGATTCAAAAGTGAATGGAAAAGCATTTATTGTATGTTCATAATAACTTTCTCTATACAAAAATGTACATAGTTCGTCATCCATAAGTTATCCCAACTTTTCCAATAATGTAGATGTCCATGGTATTCCCAACATTCTAGAAAGCGATTCCTTGTATTCTAATTTAATTGTTAATTGAAAATTATCTTTAAATCTAGATTTTAAAAATAATATAGATTCAAAAGACACAAAGCCTCCTAGGTCAATTTCAATAGTCCTCGCAAACTGATATCAGATATTAAGACAGAGGCATGAGATTCCTATCATATCCGAACCCCGATGTTTCATTTGGCGAAATCATCCCCCTTAATTTTCAAATAATTAATTAAGACAGAGAAAATAATTCTAGTCCATTATGCAAATTATCACACGTTTCCAGATAGTGGTGATTCCATGGTTAATCAAACATGCCAAACAAACTGTATTGTGGTTTGTTCCTCAAACACTGACATGAATATGATTTTGCATTTGTGCATTCCCAATACATTTTCTATTTATCAATGAAAGTCTGCAATGTGACCTCTACTTAAAGACACACCTGTTTAACAAGCATCTGTTTTACCTATACAGTTGTCTTAACGAGCTTTTTATATAACACATCTTTAAATTACCAATATACTTTATATACTTTATACTTTATATATATATAACTTTTAAATACTTTTAACAGTCTCTCTCCGAATATTGCTTTTTACAATGAACTATTGAATTTAGGCGTCTAATAAAGCTTTATCTTTCAATCATATCTCAAAATCAGATTTGTTCCGAATTCAACATTGAAATAAATATATATTCCAAAAGATTGTGCATTTCCAAAAGAAAATCGTTTAAGCATTATGAGTATATTATGTATTGAAATGGCAATGAATATTTATTAATCAGAATGGAAAAAAGTTTATACAAAGATAACATACTTGACACATTAGAATCGATTACTTGGAATTTAACTTTCGTTTTGTTATGTTAAATACTGCAATGAAACATATATGAATATAATTAAAATCTTTGAATTTTAGAATTTTAAATTAAGTTATGTCAATGGATTGTGTTATTCCATTGGATTTATTTGTGTATAGTAACATATTCTAACGATGTAAAAAATGAACACTTAATATGTGTCAAAATGTAAACTATCAAAAACCATCAGTAAACCACCAGTGTCAATTTGATTTTCCATTTCTCTTCATAACCTATTCAAAACAATCTTAAAATTAGAATCTAAAACCATGCGTTCCCTAAAATGATGCATGAAAATGTTACTTACTAGTTCAGGTTCATGTTTCTAGAGAACAGAAAGCTTTATCGTCAGCTACCAGGAAGTCGTCGTTTGAATCTTATCTGATAACAAGGCTATTACCATGGTGTTTACCCTGACGTAGTGGATTTCAGAAAGAGAGAGAAACAGATCCATCATGATATTAATACATTACAATTAAATCATTGACTCTCCTTACAAGTAACGCTAACATTATATGTGTACAACTCCCTTGTAATCTTTTATCTTGCAAAATTTTCATTGATTTTTCAAATGCTTTGTTCATGTTGTTTGAATGTCAGTTTCTTTCTGATTAATAAAGTCAATAGTACGATAAAGATTTGAACCAAATACAAAACAGTGTGATATACGCCAAATGTTAAACAATTTTTTTCGTTTTGTCTTTAAAACACGTTTTATAAAACATATAACAACAGTGAAAGTAGTGGGAGAAATGTTTTATATCACAAAGAGAGAAACGAAAAAGCAGTTATCTGCTTTTAATATTAATGAATTCTTAAGACTGATATCATTTTAGTCTTTTTCTGCATAATTTTTAGGTCTTAATAATCAGAAACAATCTGACAATTTTTCACTAGCAATTCTAGTACCAAAAAATAGAAATAGAAATAGTAGAAAAAATAAAAAAAAAAGGACGTTATTGTATTTAAATAATTAAGATACACTCACGTATCAAAAGTGAACAAAGGGTACTATGAGCACTAAACTTTCCACATGAATTTAATATCCAGGTCTCCAATATGATTATTATAGCAAAGTCAATTTGTTTTCCTCTGCTAGCCCATGACTAAGTGTCAGGTCAACAAGTACAATAAAAGACACAAAAACGCATGTAATAAAGAATCTGTGAAAGTATTTTAAATTTCATCCCGTGGTTTACGTGATTAGAAATGGGTACACCAAATCGTAACGGACGAACGGACATTCCGATCACTAAATACTATCCAACTTTTCCAGGTGAGGATATATAAAGCAGAGAACCATTACAAAGACAACAAGAGAAATAGAAGACATTTGGAATTCCGTTAGGGGGACAAATGAGTAAATTTTGATCAAATTGCTTCTTGTTCATATTCTTAAGCGTTAGAACACCAGACTAACGAAATCTAGTGTCATTCATACAACAAAAAGTTTGTAATTCACAAATGATAAACCTCATTCACTTTGATAAGGAAGACTTACGAAAAGGCAACCCGTCTATTTATCTTCCTTTTTTAGCTGTTTATAAACAAATAGTTCAGATAAAGTGCTATGTAACCATAACACTCAACAGGTTTTGAATGACTTTAACGCTGAAAACTTTGTATTTTTATACTGTTATAGTATATTCCTCAAAACACTTATGTAATTGTAATGTTAGTGTAAACGATAAGAAATGTTTTGTTTTTTTTATTCTAAAATATTTTTAAAAAAATATTTCAGTAGAGCGTCATTCTTTAAGGCAACTCCTATTTTAATTAGTGAGTTTACAACCATATTCCCATATCAGTGAAATATTCTGGAGAGGGACGTTAAACGGTATACAACCATATTATTTTTATTGTGTTGTTTTTTTCTATTTTTCCGTGAATATATATGAAAGTAAATAAAAACATTAAAGAATCAATAAAGGTTATTCATTTTTGAGAAACTACGCCGTAATTTTGTTACATTTTTGTAGCAATTTCTATGACATAATATCTACGTGTAACATAGCGCTATTTAAACTAAAACAAGTTTTCTAAAATATCTTATTTTCAACTTAAAATATATCGTGTATGGCCGTTTTCAAGAAAGTGCTAATACTATATCCCCATTCAATAAAAAAATTCGTCTAAAGTCATATGATTCAGGTTGTGATGATCACTTTGCACAATTTGTTAAGGACATCCTTATTTCGAAATTCGGCTATTTCGCCAAAAAGACTGCTCTTATAAAAAAATAACATTCTTGGTATGAAATAGAAGGCTCTGATTTTTTTTTTTTTTTGTGAAAAGGAATGCTATGGAGTATCTCACGTGAATACAAGGATCACTGGATTTGCCAATTTTCGAATTGGAAGATGTGCATCATAATGCCAGAGCACTACTTTGAAAACGACGAACACTTGTTTTTTTCTGTTTGTGATGTAACTCAGAACTTTCTGATTATCCCGGTTATAAGCTTTTATACATTCATTTTTCAAATTAGAGGAAATTTAGATTAGGTAGTCTAAACAGAAATCCAGTATTGCATTAATATCTGCAAACAAACATGCATTTTTTGATTGCACTGTGGCAACGCACTTTGAAAACATTACGCACTTTGAAAAAATTACGCACTTTGAAAAAATTACGCACTTTGAAAAAAATTTCAAAGTGCTTAAAAATTGGGACAAAATCAACGCACTTTGAAAAAAAATTTCATAATGCGTTAAGAGTTTACATCAATATAATTTACCATGAAGACACTTCACGCACTTTGAAAAAACATGTATAAAAACTAAACTTCTGAATTTAGATTTTAGTAATGGAAAGATTTTATCTTTCAAAAACTTTTGCATTGATTTACTCACGTTGAGAAGACGAGAAGACGGGTAGAAGATATATCATCCCAACTCCTATCTTTGAATACACAGTCGGCAGTAACAAATAAAACGGGAGATGGGGGTATAATAAGCCCAAAAAATGTAAGCTGCATGTTTAATGCCTATATGATACATCTTTCAAAATTAAGTTGGGGGCTTAGGCCCCTTCCCTTGCCCTTCGCCGGGATTCGATGTCTATGCTATACCCATTTAACATGTATATATGTATTTACATAACTGGTATAACGTTGAAAACTTTCAATCAATGATTGAAACTCAAACAGATGAAAACTAGATCGACATTTTTATGAACAGAAAAACGTATGAGAGAGAAAGAATTTTTCATAGATTTGAAAATCAAATTGCCTCTTTTTTTTCTTAGGATAAATGCTAGGCCTTGAGTCGTTCACTTTAAGCCCCCCTTTTCCTACATCTTCATATTACAGACTAAAAATTTTAAAATGAATCGAAATAATGATATTAAACAATCATCTCTATATTTTTTTTTTCCAAATGACCAATTTCATTTTGATAACAATTATCGAAACCTAAAATATTTAAACATCACATCTCAGGTTCTTAAGACACCTTATCATAAAAAAAATTATCCAACCAGGGTCAATTATTTGTCCAACCCATAATTTGTAAGAATATTGATCAAGCTTTACATTTTTTTCCAAGTACGTTAATATGGTCGATGTTAACGTACATTGAAAAGGAATTTAATTTCTTTCAAAGTACCTTAGTTTGGTTCCAAATTTAACACACTTTGAAATTTTTGTTCAAAGTGCGTAATTTTTCAAAGTGCGTTGTAACATTGAACTCTTGTATGTGACTAAATTCATAGTGCATCCTACATTGACTAGATCTAAAACGGCATTTTCCTGTTAAAATAAAGAAGAAATGCACATGTAATTCTTGATTCATCGTTATCTTTATTTTATAAAACGATTTATAATTCCTTTACAACTTATGTCCTCCAAATGTGGGCCAAACAGAATGGGCATCTGACCCAAAACTGGATGTTCTCACCCAAACTTTATCTCCCATTTGTAATTCTATCCTTGCAGTGGCGGTACAGGACTTTTCAAAGCTATGCCTCCTAGCAGCACAGTGATTGTACCCCACAATATTTCCGTTTTTGACTAGCTCTGTGAAGAACATATCTCCATTATCCACCACCATGGTCCAGTCAAAGAAATATACCCCCTTCACAGGCGCTGTAAACTGCCCTGTATTATTGTTGTATCCTCCACCAATATTGGTTATCACCAAACCAAACTTGACGGTGTGATGTTTAGGTATGCCCACTTGTCTTGTATTAGCTCTGGCTTGAAAGGCTACTATCTCCTTTTCTGTGAATAA